GCCTCAACGGGAAGGAAATAAGGTGAGACATAGGTGAGATCTGAGTGGGTGAACCATACCGACGGTGTAGGTGAAATAAGCATTTAGACCTGGAGAAGCCGTGTAAGTCAATGGCGCAGTTTGAATGGAAGGAGAACCAGTGAAGGAACTCGACGAGACAGGCAATCCCATCAACGGTTCTCGCTTCAGTGGACAACAATCACATACCCATGCCGGGAGCAACACCAACGGGCCTGTGAGGGAGAAAAGTCAGAATTCCAGGGTCTCATGAGTTTGCGCAACACTCTTCATTCCTCCTATGACGATACTCACATGTTGGCAAAGAGACCCATGCAGAAGGTAGCCAAGGCGCAAATAGCAGCGGTAGCGGTGACGGCATCGCGACGGATACCCTGTTTGCAGAGGAGGTAGGCAGTGTTGGCTTCGCAAATGGGATCGGCCTCGGTGGACTCGCAGACGCAGGTGCCGCCAGAGTCGGCGATGATGGAGGAGTTGACAGCAATGATATAAGCCATGGCAAAGAAGGTAGCGAGGCCGGCGCGGATCTCGGTGAAGAAGTAGGAGCCCTTGCGTTCACGGCGCTGTAGTGAGGGAAGAGAGGGGGCCTCTGGTCAGTCCTGGCTGTGTCTCGGCAAGGTGTTTGCGTTTGCCATCCGGCCGTCCAAACCAAACCAGCTCAACTCCTTCACAGCCGCCGCGATGGGAGGAAGCGAGAGAGCAAACGGGCGGCCGGGTCTGGCCGGAGTGGCTTGCATTGGCTTGGTTCGAGTTGACTTACATGACCTGAGCCATCGAGCTGGAAATATCTGCCCACGAAGCTCCTGGCAACGGCCGCATTGGTGTTTTCAACCCAACCCATGGTGAATGAGCGTCCAGCCGAAGGAGTCCTGGGGACGGTTTTGGTGGTTTCGATGGTGGGGGAGGGGTGTAAAGAGAGAGGTGAGGAGACACCGAGAGCAAGACGGAGAGGAAGCAGCCGGGTAATAAGAGAACCGGGATAGAATGGACCCTGCAGATGACAATGGATCAGGCCAACCCAGCAAGCAGCACAGAATGCGACGAGGAAGAGCGAGAGATCTTTCGATGCGCGCGCGTGAGGCGACTCGAGGAGTTTTTTAGTGGAGCGGGAGACCCTGTTTTTTCGGTTGGCTTTTGAAGCGCGAATCGAAGTTCGGCAAAAAAAAAAGTGACTCGTGCTGCCGGGACGGAGGTGGGTACAGAACGGGGATAGAAGGTAATTCTATTACATACCACTTGTAGATAGATGATAGTGGGTGGAGGAGTGTGGGTTGACTGATATGGAAATGGAGGGGGGCGAAACCGAGGTGACAGGGGAGGGAGTGAGAGAGAGATATGAGAGATTGTGAAGGCGAGCGATGAGAGTGAAGGTCTTGAAGGTCCTATACTCACGATGGGTCGATGGAAACAACACACGATGAGGGTGTTGCAGAGAAAGACCTTGGGCTCTGATGATTCCAAGCGAAGTGGGATGTTCTACCTAGATATAGGCACTCGTGTGTGTAGTTATGGAGACTTTATCAATGCGCCAGGGCTGGAGGTGAGAGCACGATGAGCGCCAGGTGAGTATGACTTGAGAACAGGACTCGCCGGCTGGCCAAGAGCAAACGCAATTTGTCAGTGAGTGTGTGCCTCGGGACATGCAGCAGTGCAGCGCAGTGCATCACATCGAGTCTCTCCATCCGCGGATCGATGCAATTACTTATACCAGTTGCGGTTTGCAACTCGTCTAGTCCTCTCTGGGCGTCCCCGTGTACCGTATCATGGCCAGAAGGATACCATATCGCACAAGAAGCATGCTGGAAATGAACCCATTGGGTTGCCGGCATGGGGACGACCCCGGTCCGTTCATTTGGCCACTCCAGCTCCGGAGACCAGATAAGTAGCTGGTGGGATGAATGCCCTGTCCAATCCATCTCACCAACCCCAGAGGGCTCACGGTGCCTAGAGCCGGAGCTGATAACTGTACGAGATGGACGCGGGGGGACCTTGCTGGGTCGGATTGGGGCGACGTCCGATGCGGTGCTCGCAGTTCAAACAAGCCATCTCGTGGCTGCTGAGGCGGCGGCGGTCATGGCCGCCTAGCTGCAACTGGAGCGGTGCCAGCGTCTACCTAGACTCCAGCTGGCTGGCCTCAAGCTGGGCGCGGACACTGTACGATATGATATGTAAGGCACGGCATGCGCAGGGGTGCGACACTTGAGGACGGGGGATGATGGGGATGGGTGGGATGGAGCCTGAGATAAGGTCAGGACCATCTCGAGCCCATTTACTCGCTGCTTCTGCTCTGTCTCCTCTAGCTCGTCTGTTTCTGGTGAATGCTCCTGCCGTCTATTCCGCTTCACTGCTAGCCCCTGCTGGTCCGATCCGCTCAGCGAGCCACTACTTCTCGAATCTTGCCTGATTCGAGCGTGAGCCGGCCACTCCACGGCAGTTCCTTTTTCTCTGGGGCAATAATCTCCAGCTCTTATCTTTGGCCACTGACCTCCTTCATCAGATCGATCAGCTTCAGCAGCCGCAGACCCGTGTCGGCCGTCTCCGTCGATGCCGGCCACGATAGGAGCTGGCCGTCTATCTCGGCCATTTTGAAATTGCAGTCTGTTTGGCAAGCAGCTACTGAGCAGGGCTGGATGCGCGCCTGGCTTCAATATCGCTGGGATTGCAGTGGCACGGCCACTGGATGGCGGTTTGAGCCACTGGGCCGCCTGTCCCCGTCTGTGGCGCGCGCCATAATCCATAAGCTATGTGCATTCCGCGGACTCGCGTAGTCACCATCATTACTCGTTGTAATTCCTATTTTTAATACTTAATCTTCCTTCGATGGCTGGCCCCAGCTACACTATCTGAGGACGATGCGACGGGTCCGCGGTACTATTAATCGCGTTCGCCATTCAGGCCGGTTCTCCCTCATGCCTCACGGTGGTGCTCATCACACGGGCACAGCATAGCAGAGACAAGACGGATGGACCCTTTCTCTGCTCTACCCATTTTTGTTCAAAGCTCCGGCTGCGTACGTTATTGAAGCCTCTGCCATGCGCATGCTTAGACGCCGTTCTTGTCATGATGTAGGCAGCGAATGTTGATCCAGCTATGGTCCTATGGTTGGTTTATGCCTGTGCATCCACGGATAGAACATGGCCCGTATACTTACATCCCACTCTCCAGCTTCTCCTGTCGCTGTTCAGAAACGGCGTAGTAAATAATCTACGGGGCAGATCGCTCTAGATCGGGGGCAAGTTTAGGTGCTGATGAGTTTTGTGTTTCATTGGTGGGTGGCTGCAACATGATCTCCAAGATCTCGACCATCCCTAAACTGGGTGTTACACCTTTGGTTGACCGACAATCATGCAATAGGGTTGTAACCTCCTCTCGCGGCCTGCATCTCCCCTCGAGCATGTTCATTAAGGAACCAGTCGTGCAGATCACCCAATCGAGTACTGCTACGTGTGCACGCGGCGAAGCTAGTTTGAACGACGTAATCCTCTAGCTGATGCTGGGCCTCTGCATCACCGTACGCTGATTTTAATTTGCTGCTCTTTTGCATCATGTCCATCACTTTTTCCTTCATCATCATGGCCCATTATTGAAGAGGTGGTAAGTTGGCACTGGCTGTTGGGGCTGTCGCATGACATCTTTACTACAGCAAAAAAAAAAGGAGAGATCTTGCGCCGTGTCGCAACGTGCATGTCTGGAGAGGGTTTGCCCCTACACTATCCAAGGGACTCGGTCTTTGCATGCATGGGCACGCACGAGCGCAAGTCTTTCCAGCCATCTTCACTTCGTATAAGCCCTAGTTGCAATCCTTCATCACATATCACATGAACGGGACAAAAGAACGCCTAAAGACCAAAGGGCGATTTCATGCTTGATGGCTGTGTCAGCTTGTCGAGGTCATGTCAGACAGGCAACTCGAGGTCATACACATGGTCTGGTCATTGTGGCGTGTAAGTGTCAGTAGACTGATGCAACACCAATCCCACCCATCTAGAACAGAGACTGGAGTGGGAGGACGCACTGGGCACCGTAACGCATCTTTTGCTTCTGATTCGGTGTTCTGTCTGGCAGAGAGCAATGGATAGGAATGGAACGGGCAGCTCCTGGAACCCCCGATGTCGATGACGGATGGGGCTCTCAGGCAGCCCACCGATGATGATGTGTGTGCGGTCGCAAAAGGCGGAAGCAGGAAACCGGGGCTGTTTAGGTAGGCGGTCTGCGACTGGGCGAGGCAGCTGCTGTGGCATACTGAGCCTGCAGCATGAAACAGCACAGCGCCGAGGTCATCTGGAAATGTGGAAAATGACTTCGACGTGCATGGCCGGGACGTGGGACAGCCCCCTCCATTGACGTCAGCTAACCAGGTCGCTCCTTCGTCCTCACCGGACCGCTGGTTCAGTGGTCACCACGTACGTCGAAAAGTGGCGTCTGGAACGCGACCGCCCCCCGCCATTGGCCCGCGTTGACGTCACGAGCCACTTTCCTGCCTTTTTGCTTGGGGAAGCTGGACCCTGAAATGCGCAGCTGCAGCACCTGAGCCCGCCTGCATCGGCACTTGCCTGGCCCAGGCCGTGTCTTGCATGCCCTGCTACCATCATGATGCATCCATTCAACGCCATGTCTCTATTTCTGCCAACACCTTCCATCCCACTTGCTTTCCCCCGCCAAGCTTAAAGCACACTCTCCCCTAATTCCCCCCTTGAACCCAGTCTATCCTCACAATTGCACTGCTCCTTCCAGCATACCCTTGCTTGGTTGCCTCCTTCTTCCACAAATCCATTCATATATAATCGACGCCTAGGGACGGACCGCACATTCCGCCTCTTTGCTTTTTGCTTTTTCCTCCCCATCTTCACCAGCTACTACCACTGGCCCTCCAACCTTGTACCTATCCAGGTAACCTTGGCCAGCAATAAATACCACACACCTCTACGCCAAGACGCACAATACTACAACGCCTTGCCAACAAAACCGACCACCCCCAGCCAATGTCTGTACCATATCGATCCGGGAGAGACTATCCTCCCAGTGGCGGTCTTGCAGACGGCTACTATGACCCTGGCCAGTACTACGGTGACAGAAAAGCCTACGACTCAGATTCCCCTCCGCGCTCTCATCGCCATCGTGATGACTTGGCGCGCCCCTCGAGACGTCACAAGTCTGAGCATCGCCGGGCTCCCGCGGATGCTTACGATGATGCCTACGAGAAACCATCTCGGCGTCGGAGTCGAAGAGATCCTGGCCCGGACCGCCCTGAGATAGTGTACGACCCTTACTATGGCAAGAAGCGTTCAGCACATGACCCGACGAGCCCTTCCTATTCACGGGAAACCGAACGTCCCCGCCGCCGGGACGAAGATAGAGACCGGGAACGCCGCTCTCGTCGGCATGAGAGAAGTTCCATGCCACCTCCAACAAGAGAGCCTTACGATTCCTACCCTGCTCCAGGCTATTCTCAAGATCGAAAGTCCGACCGCCGATCTAAGAAATACCGGGCTGAGCCTGAGCCACGGTCCTCCAGACATCACCGAAGGCCCTCTCCCTCCCCCGAACCAAGACCACGACGACACGAGCCTCCTATGCCGAGGTCAAAGGGCGGTCACTATAGAGACTACGATGACCACTACGGTGCACCACCTCCTCGGAGAGCTCGTTCTCACGAGCGACCCAAGTACGACTTTGATAAGCCCTCGCGCGGCCGTCCGGACGAGCACGGCTCTTCCCGTTCCAAAGAAGCCCCTACAAGCCGGCGAAAGTCGGTACCAGCAAGCCCAAAGAACAAGGGAAACCCGTGGTGGCAGAACCCCATGCTACAAGCTGGCGCTCGTTATGCCTTCACGGCCGGCGCACAGGCTGCGCTCCGGAACAAGGATGAGCAAGGCCCGTGGATGGGGCCGAAAGGTGCCAAGGTTGCTACGGCAGCTCTGAGTGCCGCCTTGGTTGATGGCATCATTGCTCAGAAACAGGGCGGTGAGGGGCACTGATATATGAAGCCACTTCAGTTCCAAAATAACAGTACGAGAATGTTGAAGAATTTTTGAAATTATACGTATGCGGTGGGTAGACTCGCAACTCATCTTGATTTTATGACCTGTTACGACTTTTTCATCCAGCATCTGGATCTATTGGCTACGGAAGCATACATGTGAGTAAGGGGTGCATTTATATTTGTTTCATCGTGAATCATGACTGGAGTTGAGTTGAAGGCTACATGTTACAAAAACCTAAATGTATTATGAGATTATGAACAAACATCTTCACGAACAAACACCCTCGCTGGGTGGAATCACGGATAACAAGCTATGGATAGCAGCTTAGATTGAACTTGTGAATTTAATATGAGTATTCTTTGGCAAAAGTTTCAGTGATTGATACCAGAGTGATACTTGTCAGTTAATGATGCCAATGAAAGCAGATGGACCGCCTAGTTTCCAATGTTCCATGGACGGCAGCGCGTAGCAGCGCAGAAACCATTGCAGCATGGCCCAATATACTGTCCATCTGATCCATAACACTCCCCTTTTTCACAGACATATTAGCTCAAGCTCTTACATTTAAAAAATAAAAAACAGATTCTTCAGGCTCTGCACCCTAAGGACGTGAGGAGGCAACTAACCGTATGTTGGCACGCACATGCCCTGGCAGGTTACACTTCGGACGGGCTGGGGAGGGCCGATGATGAGATGCTGGCTCCCGTCCGATGTGTCAATGCTGTGCACGATAGTCTTCTCGCCATCGGTCTTGAAGAAACACTGAGTGCCGGCGTTGTAGTCGGGGGCATCGATGATGCTCACGGAGAGGTCACTGTCTATTGTGTCTCGGGTCAGCGATATCAACGCAACGAAGGCTGAAAATGGAACAAGATGACTGAAGAAGAGCGGTCATACTGGTGAAGACCTCGGTACCGTCAGCAGGGACGGCAAGTTCATAGGATGCCGGGCCAGCGTGGAAGGTCAAGTGGGCGACCTGGACTGGTGCGCTACGGGTTTCGAGGGAGGGACGAGCGAGGACGCTGGTGAGCGAGAGGCTAAGGAAGAAGAGGGAGAACTTCATCATGATGGTTTATGGGAAGAGTAAGTCTGGCGGTTGTGTTTAGAGTGATGTGTAAGATATTACTGTTCCAGGAGCTGGTGATTGATGGTTTGACTGGTGTACGAGCTTGGGATATCGGTTTGCCTCGGAGCAAATCACGCCAGCAACCCTCACTTATATACTTTTCACTCTCTCCTCCCTACGGTATTCATGATGCCGCATGGAGGACATCACGCAGTAAGCTGAAAGCGCCTCTCAGCATACATTCCTCTCGTCATCAGCTCAGCTGACCGGTCTACGAGCTGGCAGATGCAAAAAGATCAATTTCGTCACAGAACAGCAAGAAGGGGAATAGGCTATAAGCACGGCCAGATACGAAGCACCGAATCTGAGAACTTTGCGATAGGGCTGCCCAGTAAACGTTGAGCCCGTGTTGCAGATCCCTCGTGTTGGACGTTGTGGTGAGGCTGCCGAGACAGTAGCGGCCCCCCTCCCCCGCGCGGGGTGAAATGCGTGCAGGAGCTGAATCGCTATGTGGCGTGAAAAGAGCAAAAAGGACCATGATGAAGCTGCGGGAGGGCCCAATCGGATCGAAACTCATCGTATGCTCGTGGAATGCTGACTTGGCTAGATTCTCGTATTGCGCTGTCATGGGACAGACCTAGATGCGAGGAACGCGACGATCTCTTCGTAGAGGGGATGCTAGCCTGGACTCCATGTCTTGGCGTGAGGACGGCATTTGAAGAGTCTCTGGAGGTAGAAAGATTCGAGAACAGAGCTAAGTAGGTTGGTGGGCAGACATACCTTGTGTTGGATGAAACATCATGTGACCCAGTCCAGGTGCAGCCAGTCATTTCTTCGCGATGCACCGCGTCTGGATGTTGAGACTGGGCGGGCGCGTTGCGTGATCGGACCAGGATGCAGTGACATCCCGAGATCGCACTCGTTGACATCGGCGGATTTGCAGATCAGGAACCCTACCCAGGTCTGTCTGTCGACCCATTCTCCGAAGTTTGCCATTTTAAGCCGGTCGTGGCCCGGAGAAATTCCCACCAATTCCGCACCGCTCCAAGGTGCCGGATATCTGTGCCCTTCCAACCCCGCTGCGGAGGAGGAGCAGGCTGTTAACGGCGTCTGACGGCTGCACCTCACAGCACGCACCCAGATGAGGCTGGCCGGGACAACTTATTACAGATACCCGGCTTCGATCCAACTCAATCGAACACCTGCAACTGGTTCTGCTTACCTACCTATGTAGAGAGAGCCATTGAGCAGGAAGACTACCTACTACAGGCAATGGCAGGCAGACTCAGGCTCGCGGCTCAGGGAATGGCTCAGTAGGGCTTCCGTCGCCGAGTATTTCCCTTTTCAACGCCGACGGCTACCACAGCGCTCCGCTCAGGCACCTTACTGGGCGGCTGTCCCCTAAAGCAGTCCACTGGCCGCCAACCTCCAGCCCAGAGGAGCTCCTCTACTCGGACCTCCCCCGTTGGCTTCCTTTTTGGCATCCAGCCCTCCTCCTGGTGCGCTCCTCGCCTCCACTCCTCCACTCTCGATCCGCCATCTGTCGTGCTCTGTTGTGTTTTTCGGCGATGGAAACTGCCCACCCACCACTCCTCGCGAGCTAACATTAAACCGTCCACTCCTCCAGCCCCGAACTCGGCATCGCAACGTTTAACCCCGAGACGGATGCCCCTCCCCCTCCCCCACAAATGTCGACATCCCGCCTCATAAACCCATCTCGTCGCTGCTTTGCGTCATGTAGACCTGCTCTTTCTTCTTTCTCTGCTTCTCCTTCATACTCTTTCCATCGTACCTTCCATCGTCTTCGTAATACCACCAACGGCATTGGAACCAGCGCTCCCCAATTGCCCCTCCACACCATCCTCGCCAAAACCACACAACGATCAATCGTCACAGCCGCCAACATGACGAAGCTTCTCTATCCCACCTCGCTCGTCCTCGACGTGGCCTCCCTCGAGGGTTACTCCGTCCAGCTCGTCCCCTACGACGTCAAGGCCACCGAGATTCCTGCTGAGCACCACGATGCCACCATCCTCGTCACATGGACCAACACCTCCGACAACCTGCGCTACCTCCAGGCCAACCTCAAGAACCTGCGCTGGATCCAGTCCCTAGCCGCCGGCCCCAATGACGTCCTCAACGCCGGTTTCGACACCTCCAAGATCACAGTCACCACTGGCTCCGGTCTCCACGACCGCACCGTCGCCGAGCACGCCCTCGGCCTGCTCCTCAACGGCGCCCGCCGCTTCTACGAGATGCGCGACTACCAGCTCCAAAACAAGTGGCCCGCTCACTTGGGCGGTCCCCAGCCCGACCGCCCCAAGGACCGCTTCACCACCCTGCGCGATGCCCGTGTCCTTGTCTGGGGTTTCGGTAACATTGCCAAGTGCCTCGTCCCCAGCCTTACCATCCTCGGCGCCCAGGTCAAGGGCGTTGCCCGCTCCACCGGCGTCCGTGACGGCGTCGAGGTCTACTCCGAGGACCACCTCGCCAAGCTGCTGCCCGAGACTGACGCTCTTGTCATGATCCTGCCCGGCTCCGACTCCACCAAGAACGCCCTCAACGCCGAGCGTCTCAAGCTGCTCCCCAAACACGCCTGGGTTATCAACGTCGGCCGCGGTACCTCCATAGACGAGGATGCTCTCGTGGACGCTCTGGAGAAGAACGAGATTGGCGGCGCTGCCCTCGATGTGTTCCAGACCGAGCCTCTCCCCGAGAGCAGCCGCCTCTGGAAGGCCCCCAACGTTGTCGTCTCGCCTCATGCTGCTGGCGGCAGGCCCCAGGATGCTGAGGCTCTGATTACCTACAACCTGAGAAGATTCTTGGCCGGTCAGACTCTCAAGAACGTCATCTGATTACCCCAGCCCTGCAGAAAATACCCTAAAATATAGAACAGTTAGCCGGCTCCTCGGCGTATTTGTATATGTAGACATCCATAGCTTCTAGAGAGATCAGAAAGACAAAAAAAATACAGAAACATGAGCATAATGATCAATCAATAACTTTACAGACTCCTACGTTTGTAAATGTGACTGGATCTTGAAGTGCTTTGGTCAAAAGGTCCTTTATTGTAAGTCGATGGTGATTGGGACTGAACTTTGTGATACAAGTTGTTGTCGCATAGCCGTCCCCAGACTAGTGACGGAATCGCCTTGTATTTAGAGGGAAGTTTCGAAATTGATGGCGTAGAAAACCTCACGGGGTCGGTTCTAATATCAGAAAAGCATTGAGGTTCTTTGACATGCGCTGGCAGCATGTGATCCGGGTGAGTCTCGACGGTGGTAGATCAAAGTCTGACGAGTGCGCGCTTACACGCAACGGAGTGATGAACCGAAAATAAGATCAAATCTTCAAACCAGCTTTTGTAACCAGACTGACACATGTAGAAAGAGGAGATGCAGTGGCCTGCAATGGCTGCTCTAGCCTGCGGACTGATTCACGGGAACATAGTCAGCATGGGGAAAATGTATGGTTGGTTTCGATGGCAAAGGGTCCTGGCTGATCTTGGCCGATCTTTCACAGTTAAACATCTGGTCCACATGTACCCGGAGCCTCGCTTCATCAAGGGTTGTGTTTATTTTCTTATGTGTCATAGCATGTCCACTGTCGTAGTTGCAATAGATGATGCTATCAAAGGTAGCACATGGTCCTTCGGTTGGTTTTCCCTCTACCAGGGTTACCAACTACCTTTAACTGTACTTATTCACTTTTACGACGTGAACCTCTTTTTATGTGTGCTTCTTGTGTTCTCCAAAGAAAAGAGCAGATGCACTGGCCGAGGCTGATGTCGACGCCGACATAATTATGTTTCCCTTGTCAATGGAAACTTTGCCGAGGCTGATATTATCAAGATCCCCAAATTCGAGAAGGCTGGATCATTCCTCCACTGTTTTTCTTTTGTGATAATTCTCTTCATCTGGCTAGAATT